CGTCATCATTATAATAAACTTTGACCATGGTTGACAGTGTAACATGGTCATGACAATGAATACAAATTAAACATATTTAAAATATTTAAACATTGATTTTAGCTTTTGTTCCTTATATTTTCTTATATTTAAATCAATGTATGCTTTTTTTTTGGGTAAAATCAAACAAAATGTTGTTTGACCATGGTTGACTGTGTGCCATGGTCATCATTATTATACTTTGACTGTGGTTGAATGTGTAACATGGTCATGAAAAAAATGTAAATTGAATTAATTTAGAATATTTAAAAACTCATTTTTAGCTTTTGTTTCTTATGTTTTCCCATATTTATATTAATTAATGTCTTTTCTTGGTAAAATCAAGCAAAATGTATTTTGACCATGGTTGACAGTGTGCCATGGTCATCATTATTTTCTGATCATGCACCAACATCTTTAAACAGTTTACTAGAATCTTATACAACTAAGCGCGCTTTACGCTCTGCTTCTAAGAGGCTATTGATAGTTCATAAGTCATTTACATCTACTTATGGCGACAGAGCATTCTCATCGCTGCGCCTAAGCTCTGGAATAACCTACCAGAAATAATAAAAAATGCTGAGACTGTTAAACAGTTTAAATCTTTAGTCAAAACATATCTTTTCAAAGAAGCTTTTGACTGATCTATTGCGTCCTTACGRAATACAGATTATGCTATCTTATTATGCTATATTAATTTTAACCCTATATTTGTTTTAACCATACTTTTATATTAGCTATATATTAATTAATTTGTTTTAGATTATCATTATTATAATATTTTAGTCTAGTTATCTATATATATATTGTAATTCTTATGTCTTAATTATATATTTATTTTTAACTAGAGTACAAACACTAAAAGTGTGCAACACCTTGCACTACAGTATTTAGTAGTAAATAGTGCTAATTAAACAATAGAAAACAATAGGATTAGCAAAATGTAGCAGTATTTAGTGGTATTTATGTTACACACTTATAGAGTGATTTTCATATGATCGTGAAAGAATAGGCAAACTAATAGTTAGTAGTAGACTCTAAACCAATGATTTTCTTTTGTTCTTTATCAACTATTACAAACTAAATGGTCTATTTTCTTTCACGGTCATGTGAAAATCATTCTAGTGTTCGTACTCTATCTATCCTAGCTATTTTTGTCAACTTGTAAGGCTTTTAAAAGACATTATCGGTTTAACATTATGCGAAAAAATGCGATTCTTCTGCCTAAAACCACTCATGAAACGARCTGAAACAGCACCCAGATAACGTATCAGATGATGTCTATGACCACATCATAAAATATGAAAGACAAAACCATCAGAAACCCCTTAGAATCAACCCTACATGAACACGAACGCTTATCATATCGGTTTACAATACACTGGAATGATTTCACTCCTGTATCTTACCTTGATCGAATTGAAATTTCAATTTTCCAATGCATTTCGAGCCCAAACAAGTCAAGTCTTCTATATACGTCGGTGCGGCGTCAAATATGATCAAGCTTGCTTTGACGTCACATGCAAGGGGTGGGTTCAGATATGGCATGTTGTATAAAATCTGGACTGGACCACTGGACTAGAATGATTGGATTTTTTAGAGATTGCAGTTTCTTTACAACTTAATTACATCTTCTATTTTCTATATTGTTTCATGTCAAACGATAACTCTATTGGTCAAAAACTGAATGCAGTTACACGAGTAGAATCATATACAGCTGTTTCAAAAAAAAGTCTGTGAAGGTTTTGTTACATGTTACACTGAAACCAGGTCATCACCCATCACGGTTCCACTGAAGATTCATTTCATTATCCGACTTTGATTCCACAGCCCGGGGGAGGGGGTGGGGATTTGCATCTTGTTTTGTAGCTTACATTAATGAAACTTTTAATCCAAACCCATTATCCAAATTCACAACGTTCGTTTCATTAATGCAAGCTTCCTGCTAAACCTAAAATGTTTCGATAGCCGTGCCCTGACATTGTTTCTTCAAGGCATGGATAAAAGTTTGACGGTACTACGTACGTGTCGCGAGAAACCACAGTTACACGAGTTTGTGAGCCTCAAGAACCATGACTGATAATCATGTAATAATTAAGGTAATAATAATCTTTATTGACTATAATAATTTCAAAATTAAATCCTAATCTAGAAATAGATCTGTTCAGCATTACTGGTTAACAAGAAAGAATTCCCGGAGGCACTGACACGTGGTCTCAGTGAGAACAGGTTACTGATGCCAAAGCTAACTGAATCTATCATTATTCGATTATTTTGTTCCTATATTTATAGTTAGCTCCTTATAACTTGAGTACCTTAATATTCATTCAGTGTCTTACATGAGACGTTTACTGACCAATAAAAGTTCTTTTGTGCGATTRCGGCTTATGATGCGTTGGTGGCAATAGCAATACATTCAATCGTTTTACATGGGGAAGTTAAAGATTCTATATACATGCATCAAGAGTTCCGCGCTACTGCTCTAAGCGCATGCTCAAGAGGTCAAAAAGTGGGATCATGGGTTGTAAAAATTGCTATATTTTAGCTGTATTTTTCTTAGAAAGCACAATTTTCACTAAATATTCAAGAGCAAGTAGGATTAAGCTAATTCCAAATCAAATGTTCCAAAATATAGCAATTTTTTCCAACATGGCCGCCGGAACATGAGCATGCAAAAACTTTAAAGGGCAACCAAAGTCATGCAGACAGAATAATAAATAAGAGAAGCTCATCGCCAAGACCAAGATAAGTTCACTGACCAAGTGACCACCTTGCCTCTTTTAGTTAAAGTCAAATTTTTGTGATTTTTTTAGATCTCTTCTCCGCCGACCCAAACAAGGTTCACTACGCCCTTAACGTGCTCGACCCTGCCACTCACTGACTGCTGCTGACCATCAATGATTACAACCGCATCTTCAGCAGTGGCCGGTGTTGCTAGGTAACGGTCATGCGCCTCACAGCCAGTCACAATGCTTCGTCGTGTGTGAAGCCAGTCTTTGGCTTTTTGAGGCATTCCACAGTTTGTGAAGACGTTGAGCGTTTGCATTCCGGCAGGACTCGTGTGAAGTAGTATAGCAGTGGATGAATCTTTGGAAGTGACGTAAAAATCATACCCATCATTCTTTGCGAGGAAAGCCACGTCACTGAGACGCAAACTGGACTTCATTGGCTCACCAATCTGTATTGTTCCATCGTACGCGAAGTACAAATTCGACAGGGTATAGTCATTGAACGTGACGATAAATCTCCCGTCAGGAGATATGTGGGGGATGCCAATATTGACGGACGTCATAGCAACTACTTCTTCGGTCTTTAAGTCGACTACAAGTTCAGCTCGTTGACCGCCATCTTTAGCCGTGAAACAGTGGACCACAGCGTGACCGGTCGAGCTTGAAAGTGCAAATGCATACGTTCCGTGACAATTATGGCTGCTGAGATTAACGAACCGAGTGAATTCTTTATCTTTTAAGCTTAATTCGTGGAACCCTGTTTCATTAAGGTGCGTGACATAGCCAAAATTTTCTTCGTCGCGCAAGTGACAGCTATCGACTACGTGTAATCCATATATAGGAGCTTGGGATTCGCTTAGAGGTACTGGTGTCACGCTGTGGGATATCTTCTTCGTTGCCATAGTAACCACGTTGACTGTTCCATTGTCTTCCTCTTCCTCTGTGAGAACCTGAATACTCTCCGCCCAGTTTGTGAACCACACCTCGTCCAAGGCCGCGACGTATTGTGGGTTATAGGGATAACCACGGACCGCTATCTCCTCGATCACAGAAAATGTTGCAATGTCAATTACAATGAGCCTGCCTCCTAATGCGTCAGCGGCGTAGATCAGCTGATTTCCAGCATTCACCGCACCACCCCATGTACAAGGTTGCTCTGGGCTTCCTGTGCATATGGGTGAAAGGCTTCCATTGACTACGTCCACAGCTCTTATGTGTCTCACTAAAGATAGCGTTGCTGGATTGATCACGTGGATGCCTTCGCTTCCAAATGCGAAGAACAAATTTCTGTGGTGTGCAGAAACTACGGAAAAAAGGGATACTGTCATGAGTACAAATTGATTGCCAAAAACCGAGTGAGTGATGAAAGATTCTATAAGATTAAGCAGGATCGAGTTTTGAATGTGTGCAGTTAAAAATGCCAAAAAGAAATTGCCGTGGTGTGCGGTGACTTTATGGAAAAATTAAAGACTGTCATGATACAAAATAAATAGCAAAAAATTGACTATAAAGTATGTACTGCAATTATAATGTTATAGGACTAAGAGGTAGTTTTCAATGAGTGCGTCTCTGGTGCGCCAAAGAAGTGGAASGATACGAGGATAAGTCTCTTTCAAACATGTGCGTTATGCTATAATAATGTAATGTGAATAGCCTACTTTCAAGATATGCTTCGCTTGTCACGCACAAAGATTTCAGTACTAGGCTTCGTGCTTAATTTGAATTTATTCTTTCCTCCTGTCACGAACCACTGAGCATTATGCACGAAGCCTCACATTGAATCCTTTGTGTGTGACAAGCGAAGTATATCTCGGAAGTGTGCTATTTACATAAGCTCTGAATTAATTTAATTTAATCTAATTTAATTAATAGTTCTTGCGCATTTCGCAAGCCTCAATGCGCTTACAAGATAAAAGAAAAATATGTACAAAACAATATAAATAATATATATATATATATATATATAGAATATAATGGGAAAATTGATAATTAATATTTAAGTTAGAGGAATTCCTACCAGTTGGGCTTCCTGTTGTAGAATCAGTGTCACGTGGCTCCGTGAAGTGATCAGCAGCCATTGGTTCTCTTAATTTTTCTGTGAAGACCTCAATTAAAGGCGTAGGATACTCCGACGATTGGTGTTCATGTACTGTGACAGTTGGTCTGTCTGTTCTAGCACTCTCTTGTGTCGATTGTTCTTTTTCGTGCTTTGATTTCACTGAAGTAAAGATTAATGTGATTAGAACTTCGAGTAAATCTTATATCCAGTGAATACGGCATTGATCATGGTAAGGAGAAATAGGTTGTCTTCTACGTAAGCTTATTTAGAATACCGCTGGACACCACATAGGCTCTCTTCAATGTATACTTATTTAGAATACCGCTGGACACTACACAGGCTCTCTTCAATGTATACTTATTTAGAATACCGCTGGACGCCACATAGGCTCTCTTCAATGTACACTTATTTTGAATACCGCTGGACATCCTATAGCCTCACTTCGATGTACACTTGATTAAAAATACCGCTGGACCGTGTGAGCATCTGCTCAAAGGGCATTCACATAATGACTGTGTACTGCTTAGTCGCGCTCTCTTACCATATTGACTATAGAATTCCTCCACTTCCAAGAAATGATCCTCGTTCTTATCGTCTGCGTGTATCCAGTCCGCGACACTACACACTGCCAATGTCGCATACATATCTTCATACTTCGTATAGTCAGCCAGCAATGATGTTAACTCCCCCTGATCGATCTTATTATCATCGTTCTTATCTCGGCGTCGGAATAAATGGTGGATCAGTGATTCCGGGGGAGCTTCAGTTTGAAGTTCATTTCTGAAGTGCGCTAGGATTTTTTCCATTAATGTCACGAGTCTTTCATGTGAGCACAGCTCTAATTCAATCAGGAGAGAGAAAAAATCTTAGGTATATATATAAGGTCAAAACAAATGTCATCTTATGGGACACAGTTTAGAGGGGAGGGGTGGGTGGGGTTGAATTCTCTAGGTTTCTCCCTGCTGATTCGAGATTTTCTCTCCGGGCTCTCCGGTTTTTCTCCCTCCGCAAAACTTCAGAACTCAATTCGATCGATCTATGATTTAGCCACCCTGACAATGTCAGCCCAGAGGTTGTTTCAGGGTTTGATCTGTTAGTTAGCCATGTCCTGACTTAGATCAGCCCAGAGGTTGTTTCAGGGTCCGATCTGTGAGTTAGCCATTTCCTGACTTGATCAGCCTAGAGGTTGTTTCAGGGTTCGATCTGTGAGTTAGCCATGTCCTGACTTAGATCAGCCCAGAGGTTGTTTCAGGGCTTGATCTGTGAGTTAGCCGTGCCCTGACTTAGATCACACCAGAGGTTGTTTCAGGCGAATATCGTTGAAATTTAGAATTTATTTTTTCCTACCTGAAATTCCTTTATTGATGCATTCATTACTCCAGTCAATGCCTATTTTAGTATTAGTGACACACGCTGTTCTGTGCAGCTCGCAGTGATTTTCGTACCTCTTCCCATCTGACCCACACACTGGTTTGTGTCTTGATGGACAGACAGATAGACAGACACAAACCTCTTTGTTCCCTTCCAGCGCGCATCGTCGACCTGACGGGCAAACTTTAGAGCACTCTGAAAAAAATGGTTTCGCCATCAGTTTTCCACAATTGAACCTCTTTACCTTGGGCGTAATGTTTTCCCATTTTAGACCACGTGTCATTCTCTAGAGTATCATTTCTTTGTTATTGTTGCGCTTTAGAAGACACATGAATATGGATACGACTCAAACAAAGAATTTGATTCTCTAGGGAATCAGTGACAGTGGTCTGAAATGGGAAAATATTATGCCCAAGTTAAAAGGGTCATCTTAACTGACACTTTATCCATCAATCGTTTTCTAAGAGTCGCCCTTATATTAATTACATTGCCTGTGGTCTTTCYTGTTCCCTGACCGTTTTGACCCCTTAGCTGGACCACAATTCACCTCAAAATTGTCTCCGAAATCTAATAATAGACTAACCCAAGACAACTTTATCTTAAACAATGACATTGYTTTCATTTCATTAATACAAGTAAAACAGCAAATTTAAGAAAGATGTATTGAATGGTGTATCAGTTCATAGCGAGAAGGTCAAAGACCCATTAGATTACCTTACGAGTCGTCCACCCTTGCTAAGCAGATGCCAGACCATAAAAGGTTAATTTATAAAGTAGGCGCGCTTTTCCGATAAAGGTCGTGAATTRCTTTTATAGAAATAGAAAACGCGCGTGCATTCTGTGTGTAGATATAAATGACGCGAAGTTGACAGAACACTAGATCGAGAAGTCATAGACGTGTCGTGCTTCTCGACACTTCTCGACTGTTCTGCCAATCTCCAAAGTGCTTTATAACTCCACACAGCACAACAAGCATGTTTTTTTTTAGAAAATGCAAATTACAATAACCGTACGTTATTTTGTATAGGAATGACGCAACTAAAAGTGCGCGCGCGTGCAGTGTGCTCTAATAAAGCACGCGCTTGCAACCAATCAGAACGGTACATTTACAAAAGTTATCTTGTAATTCTATATTCAGTAATTTAGCCACCGTACCATCTTAAAACCGGGTTTATTCATTTTCTTAGTGCTTTTCGTCCGTAACCGCACTTACCATAGTTCTGTAATTTCTTTTTCTCTTCTTTTAGTTTTGCTCTAACACGCAGACCATAAACTTGCTGTATAGGCGAAGGAAAGGTATGAGGAAGTCATGAGATAAAGTTTAAATTAAAAAAAAAAAAAAAGAAAAAAAAAAGATATTAAAAAGCCAGTCATCTTTTCTAGAAGTCTAAGAATATTAGCGATAAGGATGTCAGATAAAATGAATAATGACCCAAAAGTCTTAAAAGTATAATCTTTTTGTTAATTCAATTAAACTGCATTATTGCATTTGAATTTACAAAGTTACTCGATGCCTGGGTTTTGACCATTTCGGCTAACATAATGCATCTTATCTCTGAAAAATTATCGTTTTTTTTTTTTTCTTTTTGAACAGAAATTATTTTCTTTACTTTTTGAAGCATTCTAGTTTAATTTCATCTACACAAAAAAAACCCGACAACTTCAATGTTGAACTTTTGGTTAAATTAACCTCATGATGATGTATTCAGGGCACTCCTCTTAAACTCTAGTACGTTCTACTACACCCGCATCAGTTCGATGAATCAAAGAAAACAATCAATCATTCATAATGTAATTGCTCACAAAAATCATCCACTGCACCCAGGATCTTGATCAATATATTTCTTAGTCTGAATTAGTATAGTTTGAAAATATTGTTGCATAATTTATATATTCCAGGTCAGATGCATTGAAAATGATAGCCAGTATATATTTTCAGTTCAAACCTTTTTTAGATTGGTCAATCGTCGAGAAATTCCGCAGGTCAATTTTGGTCTCCAGTAATTAAATCCTGTGTTAGACGCAGGTCATTTTTTGTTTATTTTCTCTTATATTTTGCGAAATAAAGTGTCATCGCAGTACAATGAAAAATATATTAAAACGAGACATTGAATTGGTTTCCAGTAAATATTCAACCCTTCCGGAACTGAAAACGGTCGCTTTCATCTCTAAGTCGAACCATGTACTCAAGACAGTCTAATATAGCCAATACAACCAAACTCAAATGAAAATCTTCTCTAGGCATTAGTTCAAAGACTTCCGATCCCAATCTATAATTTATCATAGAGTGATTGAGTAATATTTCCCAAAAAATTAATTCAAAATTTAATATTTTATATCTTGAATATTCGAATGCCGTAGAAAACAGCTGGACTTTCTTCCAGAGAAATCATTTGTGGAATATAAAATTTATTAATATTATTCCAAAAAATATGTATCCTCAAAAAAAATTTGCTTTGTATTTTGCTATGAATTTATTTTATTTTATTTGCTTTTTTTCATCGAAAATAAGACACAAGCAAACATCAAAAAATTTTCACAATGTTCAACATGATCATTAATTGTTTGCTGTTTCTAAGTCAGTATTCATGCTCACAAAGGTTGTATTTAARATAATTATGAATTTTAGACCAAATATGTCTTGTTTTTCTCAAAATAGGCGTTTCTTTTAAGAAAATATTCAAATTATCATAAATAGCGAGTAAACAGAGGTCGAAAACAGATCGAGGAAAGGTTCATAAATATGCACTTGATGAAGGCAAACAGTAATATGCAAGATGGTACAAGATTAATTCAACTTACAAAGAATAAGGCGATGTCCCTACAAAAAGTATTATGACATTATATCAAACTCGCGGGAAATCGACTGCGATGTTGGTAATAAAAACAAAATCGTATCTTATAAAGAAATTTGGTTCTTTGAATTATAGACTGAATTTTGACATATTAGAAAAAAACTGAGTATACGTAAATGCCTCAGTATGACGATTATGATGATCTGGTAGTAATGATGCCTGGTTTCTTTGAATTATAGACTGAATTTTGACATATTAGAAAAAAACTGAGTATACGTAAATGCCTCAGTCACCAAAGGACGCCTTTTCGGGCATTTTAAAATCTTAAGGCTTTTATGAGCTACTGACAATAGTGTTGGACGATTGAATGTTCAAAAAGCAGCATTATGAACTTACCTCACTCGCAAGGAAAGCTACCAAAAGCACGACCAATATCCCGGCTTCTCGTGTCATAGTTTCTGAGCTGAAGCTAGCTTTTTTCCAAACTAGGAGATCAAGGAATGCAGAAAATCTTTTCAGTTCGCAACGAGACAAGCCGTGGAGTAAAGGAATGCCGCAAGAAGATATTACATTCTTGTAAAGCAGTGAAGACAGCAAGTGAACGCAGTCCGTGTTTTTCGAAGTAATGCAAATTTAATCGAGTGATATGCGTCGAATATCATGCGTGCGCGCTCTGCAGAAATGATTTGTCTCTCGACAGCTAAATGGGTTTCTACCGGAAGTCGCCGAAACAACCGGAAGTACGCTACAAATTAAAACGGCATTCTACAGCTAAGACGCGACAGGGACAGACAATCATAAAATGCCGTAAAAAGAAAAAAAAAAAAAAAAACTTGAGCAAACAGTCAAACAATATAAAAATGGCAAGTGTAAAAATTTTAAAGGCGTAAAAAATGAGACAGTAGAAGTTGAGTGAGAGAGAGTTAGTTTAATTTGGAAATATTTAAAAAATCCTTTTCTTGCTTGGCCAAAAGGGTGTGCTCACGTGCCGACCCCTCCCCCTCAGGTCATGTCACTCTGCGACAGTTATTTTTAAAATGTTTGGGGCAAATAGATTTCAAAACTTTTACTTGGCAGACTCTCTTCGTTATAAAGCTACACCATACGCTTTACATTTATCCTGATCTCTGACCAACTGACTGAAAATGTCCCGTGTTGGGATCCCTGTAGCAAAAAAGTATGACGTCATCTTTCTGTGAATCGAAAGCATTTTATTAGCTAAAAAATTATCAAATTCAACCTGCATCATATCTTAACCTCAGTTTACCTTCAAACATTGTTTAAATTGTTAAAAATAATGCGATTATGATATCATATTTTATGACTTCATTTTACTGACAGTTTTTAAGTTGTTGTTTTTTTTGTTTTTTGTTTTTGACAAAATTATTTAGTATGTTAGAGTACTATTTTAGTATTGCTTCGTATCTAAATCGTAGTTTAATTTTACGATAATAACTTGGCCCAAAATTTGATAAAAAATATAGAAAAAATCTGACAGGCGTTGTTGCTGTGAGGTTTCGTAAGAGGGACCCGGTCAAAGAGACTGAGTCTATAGCCCTCTCGATCTTCACCCGGCATTTTACTTCTTCATTGATCAACGTTTTCTCTCATTTTACACCCAAAATCTTTGACCTTAAACGCTAAAAATGGCAAGACAAATACCTTTATCGTGTAGTGGACACACTAGACCAGTTGTAGATCTGTCTTTCTCCGAGAATACACCWTATGGATATTTTTTAATAAGCGCTTGTAAAGGTGAGAAATTTCTACCAATTCTAGAGATTAACTTTATCTTATATTTTATCCGAATTTTTCATAATTATTATTCCCTAAAGATATGTTTATAGCCTAGAGCTCCAGTATTTAGTTCTAGCATATTCGATTTTTGAAAATTTGGATAGTTTATGGCTTCAAAATTGCTGCATTTGACCTGCATTTCAAGACGTTGAAATATTCAGGTCAAAATCAAAGCTCTCGTGTTGTGTCCGGTGTATTTTCGCTTTCATGCCTTTTTTTTGGTCTAAACAGTTATGTTTGGAACTGCTTTTATAGTAGCTTGTATTATTCAAAATCATTAAGCTTAATATCGTGTACATTTATGGTTGGATCTGAGACGAATTGGATATATCTTTGAGACAGTAAGCTTATTATTTATATTAGTAGACCAAGTAATAAGTTCCCTAATGGCAGTCAATGCTGCAGAGTAAGAAAATTACATAGAAAAGGATAAAAACGAAGATATACTAGTGTGAAATGACATTGGACATGGCACTGTTATACTAGAATGGACTTGACRGCACCCTTCAGGCCAATCACAGTGGTTGAGGTCACTGCTCAGCCAATAACAATGCTTGAACATGGTACTACAAAATCTTGGCATAGAAAGGTTTTTGAAGTCATACAAAATTCTTTTGATAAGAGTCTATAAAAACTTTGGTTGATTTCTTTGTGCAGTGATCACCTAGCAATGCACTAAGTTTTTTCGTGTGCTTTTGACATGAATAGACCTCTTTGCTTTGGCATATRATATTTACCCATTTCTGACCATGTGTCATTCCYTAGAGTATGATATGTGTGTTTAAGGTTGCACATGACAAGACAGATAAACSTGTAAAWCTCAAATAAAGAATCTTATTCTCAAGGGAATGACACATGGTCTGAAATAAAGAACATTATTGCTGAAGGTARATAAGTCTATTGTCAATCATGATTGGTGGGTGAAGATTATTGAAGATAACTGGACCCATTGTTTATATAAAATTATGAAATATATAATATATTATTTGTATTTCTAAGATGGAAAACCAATGCTACGTCAGGGTGACACAGGAGACTGGATYGGAACATTTGAGGGACATAAAGGTGCTGTATGGAGTGCCTCTCTGAATAAAGATGCTACAAAAGCAGCAAGTGGTGCTGCAGATTTTACAGCGTGAGCATAATACTCTTTTGTTCCCCAATTATGAATCACTTTTTTCATTACATTGAGGACACTCGAACCKTGAACAATTCAAGTTTTTTGTCACWTTTTAAAAACRGATACTGTAAATCATCCCTTGAGCCAACTGATTGGAAATAAGATTTATTTTGATCACTTGGTGTATTTAAACTCAATATTAATAATTTTAGGGAGTTTGAAACAAAAAATTCAGGGAATAATAACCTGAAAAAAACTTAAAGTGTTCAGGTTTTGAGTGTACTCACTGTAAAATACTAATTCAGTACTTTTACAGTGTTTATAAGGAATCATATTTTAATATATATATGAAGCAAAATTTACTTAAAAAAGTCTTACTTCTTAAGACCCCTTTGGTGTGATATATATTTGGATTGAAGACCTTTTAAACACTGTGTTTAAATTTGAAGTTTTCCCAATTTCTTAAAATCAATAGACCACACCTATTTCCTCTTGAAGACCCCTTTTATCTAAATATTCTTCATATATGCATAAATCATTTACAAATTATTTATAAATTATTTCRCTCTACATAAAGTATTGAGCACTGTTCTACTGGCGATTGACTATACACATAAATTATTTACGATGTATAAGAAAGATTTTATCATTCATAATATGGTCATCTTTATATTGTTGCTATGGAAATACCTTTCATTATRGCCAATACTAATGATCTTAGATACAAGACAGTTTTATATTTATTACTTCAAGATCAAAAATATATTGCAACAATTTATTTTTAATTTTGATCAGTCCCTATTCAAAAAATATTTTGCTAAAAATGTTATATTTTTAGTTTCCTTGTGGCAAGCTATCAAATGTGAAGCTTACAGAACAATACATTGTAAAATTTTGGGTTCCCCTTATTKTATGTGGTTTATTATTATTTTTTAATGGTAGTTAACGTTTGGATGTTTAATTTCAGCAAAATATGGGATGCAGTTACTGGTGACGAGTTAGCTAGTCTACCCCACAAACACATCGTAAAAACTGTAGATTTTTCTTCAGTAAGTACACTAACACTGTACCATTCCTCACGGTGGGGAAAGTGCAGTCAGATTGAACGAAATTTACTCAGAGTGAAGCTAAGAACAATCAAATTTAATGAACAAAAATGAAGATTATGAAGTCCCATATTATATTGTATAGTAAATCAGTACAATGTATACGCTTGGGCTACCTGTGGTCGCATGATGAAACTCCAGCAAATAATTCAATTTTCAAGGGATTGCAGGGAGTAGACCCCCTGCATGTGACGTCAAAGCAGCTCCATCTGGGGGACAAAACAAAAAAAATTCCAATCTCCTGAGAATTGGAACCTATTGTTTTGTCCCCCAGATTGAGCTGCAATCCAAAGTACTGCAAGGGGTCTATAGTTCTAATATATAGTTCTATATAGAGAGTTCTAAGGGAGGGCTAGGGGGCTGTAAAGCACCCCTCCTCCCATCTTATTTACATCAATCTTCTATACTTTCAAGTAGAAGCACTTTTTTTAGCGTACCCCATGGTGCTTGAAATGGCATACGGAATGGGAAAACTGCAATGTCTATACTTCATTTTTCTGTTAATTCTGATTTATATGAATTCATCTTATTTTTTTGTTTAAAGGACAGCAATTATTTATTGACTGGAAGCCAAGAGAAATTGATTCGAACATTTGATTGTCAAAACACTGACGCAGGTAAGAAACAGCT